GGGGGGGTTGCCCAGACGAGCCACACCACCGCCTTCCCGCGCCTATCCTCTTCACCCCGCCCGCCTGCCACAGGTACCGCTCCTGCGGCGCGCTGTGCTCTCCTCAGCTGCAACCCCAATGATTTGTGCTGGGCGTTGTACCCACAACGCGTGGAACCGCACAGACGGAGAAAACAGCTAGTGCTCACTCTTACACCCCTCCGTTGCCGCGCCCACTTTCAACCGCCGTCTCCTTGCCCACCGCCTGCCACAGGTGCCGCCATTGCCTACCTCACCACACTCGCCGCGTCCGCGCTCTCAGACACGCGCGTGTGGCCCGACCGCGCGTGTTCCGCCCCTGCAGATTCACCAATGGTTTTCTTCACGATTGCTCCGCCACCACCTCCAAAGCCCCCCCTTCAAGACATCTTTCAAGGGGGTTGCCTCACCTGTGCAGTTCATTGAAGTTCCACACAGCCGTCTTCCCCTTCCATCCACTGCTACTCTCCACACCACTAGAACCTCTTTCGCCCCCCCAACCCCCGCTTTCCTACTCTTTTTGGGGGGGTTGCCCAGACGAGCCACACCCCTGCCCGAAGAAAACAACAAGAGGATTTGATCACCGAAGAGGAACGCCAGCGCCTTCGTGCAGTCATAGGTAGTTTATTGTACGCAGCAGTCAATACAAGACCTGACCTGTGCAGCAGTGCAGCCGATTGGGCCAACTCCAGACCAGGATCAACAATGGCACGGTCTCCGACCTTCTCGAAGCCAATCGTGTACTTCATGAAGCAAAACAGTATGCAGAGACAAAGATCATATTCCAACCAATTCTTATCAGTGAAACCAGATTTCTCTCGTTCTCAGATGCCTCATTTGCCTCAAATAAGAACGATAGTTCTCATCAAGGGTTGATGATCATGGCGTGTCAAAAACAGCTAGAAAACAATCAACAAAGCAAAGTCAACCCAATAATATGGGCATCTCTGAAAATCCAGAACGTAGCAGTAAGCACCCTGTCAGCCGAGTCCATGTCACTAGCCGGAGCGATAGATACTCTTGAATGGGTTCGTCTTTGCTGGGCTTGGATAGTTGATTCAACATGTGCATGGCGCCTTGGAGACAAAACGCTGACTAAACTTCCACCGGCTTTCTCGATAGTCAGGGATACAGAACTGATGATCCAAACGAAACAATGTGCCAAACCAAAGAACTTCTTGATCAAGTCAAACCCGAAAAGTCAATCATGGCCACAGACTGTAAAAGCTTGTATGATCTTGTGAGTCGCACTGCGACACCGTCATGCTTGGAATTTAGAACACTATTGCAGGCCAAGTTGATTAAAGAGCACATTGAAACAGGAATCTGCCTGAGATGGGTTCCGTCAGGAGCCCAGATCGCGGACTCATTAACGAAGATCATGGATAACACAATCCTCAGAGAAGTCCTACGCATCGGACAATATAGATTTCAAGATGAATCCGAACTTCTCAGACAGAGGGCCGACACAAGAACCAGACTAAAGTGGCTCAGATCGAATGCGCAGATCTTCGATGATGGAAAAGCCAAGTCGTCCACATCGGAGTGAAAGCTGTCAGGCTTTTTCGAGAGGGGCACTCTGGAGTGAGTGTACTGCAAGGACTTGAGAAAGTCATAGTGTGACTATGACTCATGGGGAAAGTCTCTTTTGCAAGAAAAAGCCAGATGCCTCTTGTGTTCGTGCATGCTTTTGCCATCCAACCAAACCTTGAGAATCCGCATGCGGTCAACATGCTGAGACCACTTAAAGAAAATAAGTGGTATGTCGAAATGAACCAGGTCGCATGTTGCCCCTTTCGATCTTGCTGATGTTCCGCTGTCGCATCTCTCGAGCGAGGGCGGGTGTGGAGAGGATTCGCTTGTGCCATGGTCTGAGGAAAAGGCTGCGAGGAGAACCTTGGGCCCTTTTGGATAAGGGCAACCGGATTCCGTTGGGTGTGGACACCTGGTACTTTGTGGTGTGGTCACCATTGGTTGTTGGATTGCATTGTTTTCCATTGGAGTGGTCTCCAACCAGTTTTGTTGCAACCTCGATGGCGAGGAAGCTACCAATCCTTTTGTGACCAAACCACCCTAATGTAGGCATATATATATATATATGGCATACATGGAGCGTCTGGGATATAGATGACTCGAAAGGACGACAGGACGAGTCTGGATGAAGGATGATCGGAAGATGGGGATGGTGGTTGGAATGATGGATTGCGATGAGAATGGTGGTTCTGGTGATTCAGAATCAGGGTCATGGTGCATTGAATTTGAGAGCTGAACCACAGCTGGTGGTCGCCAGCACTCTTCGAGGATTTGCACTCCCCGAAAACTAACATGGACCCTCACAATGGCAAGTGGTTTGGGGGGTCCATGTTAATCTTCAGGGGAGCATTTCTTGTTCGGAGGCACACTGAGTGAAGGCCTCACATGCTGGTGAAGGCCTCTTTGGATATTCCATCGCTTCCATCGTGCGGAGTTCCGTGGAAGCTCACTTCCCATGGTCACAACAGAACTTGGGCAATCAATATGGTTCTGAGACTCATGCCAGCATCTTGTGGCCTGATGGTGTGTGGGAATGGACTGTGAGGGTGGACGTCCATCCTCATTCGTCTGATGTTTTGGGATGAGAACGACAAGGCCAGTTCCGGGCGGAACGACAAGAAATGTCTTGCATTTGAATGGAATGCTTCAGCCCACAGAACTGGCGAAACCCCGGAAGAATAAGCAACCCAAACAGTTCAAGATCTGCCAGCCACATTCACCTCAACAGCTCAGTCTTACTACCCCCATGGCCCATGCCAATCATCCCATTCCTAATCCCTTTTCGACCCAGGATGGCCCCGCGCGCGACCTTTGGGCACTCAGCGGCTTGAGCTTACCCGCCAAGCCCAAGCAGCCGCACGCGCTCCGCGAAGTCAACAACCGCTTTGGTGATGCCACTCGGTCTCTGTCTCCGGAAGAGCACTCGGTCTTTGTTCAGAGCTAGAGATCGAGAAATGACATATCCTTAGTATGCTGTATGAGTAGTATCCCAAAGCATCCAGGCAAACCACTTACTGCTGGGAGTCCCAGTGCTTCCAGTTCGACTAACACCATAGACATCCATAGATGCCATAGAATCCCTGGTTCCTCAGTACTCGTGGTTTGCCTGGGATGCACTGGGTATGGATTTGGCCGAGAGCAGCGGCACCCTAACAGCCCAGGTGACCGCACAGTGCAGCTGCTGTGGGCAGCAAGTGGGCACCAGTGCCTACATGTGCTCCTCGGAGACTGGAGACCTCACTGTAATTAGAGGTCTCCAACAGGTGTTTCAACAACAAGACAGTTGAATATAAGAACGAAGACATGTTGTCAAAACATTACCTCGCATCCTCGACGTGGTCCCTACGTGGTCTTGTCAAGGCCAGCTTTGTGGCCTCTTCGTTTGCCCAGTCTGTGAGAAGAGGTCTCGGATGGATGCCTGGCATATCAGTCGAACGTTTCGATTTCTGGTTGCCACGAAGAGAAGCGGGCTTGATCCAGATCTAAACACATCCAAACATGGTTTGGGTTGCTGAGCAGCCAGTGCCACATGGTGCCACACTCCGAGGACCACACTGCGCTTTGTTGCCCACCGGGACCCGCCGAAGGCAAAGCAGGAGAGAAGAAACATGATGAGATGAGATAAGACATGATGAGGCAAAGCAGGTTCTGCAGTTCTGCCGAATCAACGGATCGCGTAGCAAAAGCGGACCAAGTTTTGGGATACCAAAAATTTGTAGGTGACATGAAATGTGAATACTACCGACATGCAGGTGGAAATACGGGGGTTCTTGGGCGGATCGCATTTTTGGAGAACATTCAGATGATTCATGGCTTGACGACGACATTTTTGTCAGATTGGCCTGATTCATTGTAACTTATTTGTCCTTGCTGACCTCAAGTTCGTTGGTGTTTTTGTTCCAAGAAGGCGATTTTTTCCTTTTGCTGAATTTTTTGAACAAGTAGTTGGAGTGGAAGAGCAGAAGCACCAGACTACACACTCTTGTCTTAGCAGCAGACCAACAATCCTGGATCGAGTGTGTGGAGAATGGGACGTTCCAGCAAATTTCTGTAGGATGACTGTTTCTGTTGGTAGAGGTTCGAACGGGATCGAACACTTGAACACCTCCGTGACCATTTGAACTGGCTGCTCCTCTTGTGTCACGCAGGAGTCCTTTACCAAAAGCTCTCCAACTCCTTAGAAGAGCGCTTTGACCTTTCTTCGGTCTTGGACTTTGGATCAATAGACAGGCGTTTCCGTGAGTTCGGTGGACCTGTGAGTTCGGCGAAAACCGTCGGTCTTTGGTGTTTTGATGTGTCTTGTAATTTGTTCAATTATTTGGTCCCAGTCAGATGGTAGGTTGTGAGCTTGATAGGTTTCATGCGGGCACGAGTGGAAGTTTTCTGTTGTTCTTAGAAAGACCCTATGTTTTGGGTAGGTTCCCTGTTTTGAGTCAGGAAGATACGTTGGGCGACAATATCAAGAAATTAGGAGCACAGGATCACCCTCGCGAACATGAGTGAAACCATGCGAAACGATAGCAGCCAGTGCAAAAGAGCAAAACCATCCAAGCGACCACCAAACAAAGTTGAGTGGTACGCCACTCCGCAGAAGAAGTAGCAGACCTCAAACTCTGGATGGTGAATGAACTGTTCTATTGCTATTGATATACTTCACCTGAGCCATCGGGTTCGTGTGCTATCTTCGATCAAAGTGTCCTCAGCCAACTTGACCCGAAGGTCAAGAAATATTCAAGCTTTACAAGTCCTAATCACAAACAACCAAACCACCTTTGAGTTGATATATATATATATTATATATATATATATTTCATATTTGTTCCATGCGGAGACACAGGATTTACTATTTAGTGGGCTGTTGTGGCCGACTCTTGTGCCAATTTCATGATGAACACCCGCAAATTAAAGGTCATGTTTAAACGATCTTGCGTCACCCTGCAGGTACACGGAGACAAACACACAACGGCAAACCCTAAAAAATATGTATTCCACCGATAGTTAAATATGCACATGTTCTTTTAAATTATGCACTTGTGGGTGACCCGTATGCCCAATCGACACTCTCTTCATTGCACAATGTTGACCCAATCTATGCCGTTTGACATACCCGGAAAACAACAGTTTGGTTTGGTTTGCAACGTTTGTCCTTTAAAGGACGTTGTTTGAAATCCATTCGGGTCATTTAGGAAAACATCGGTTCATCTCAGAGGCCTGCATGTTGGACTCGGACCTCAGCCTCAACACGGGAGGTTTGGAGTTCAATGTGAAACCCACAGGTCCCACAGCCATGATCCTAAAATGATGGGAAAGTCTGGCATTGGGACAATGACACAATAATCACCTTAAATATCCTTATAAATTCTATACTGAGCCCTTTGTGACGGCAAAACGTTTAATTCAGCAGTTCCTTGCTGCATTCAAAGTAGCAGCATCTCTTCCCCTCCCTCCCCACGGCATCCCTGCACCGGAGGTTCCTGGCGCAGCCCACGGCGGCCGAAGCAGTGCAGCGGCTGTTGAAGCGGACGGCCGGACGGCTGGAGCGACTGAAAGGGCCCTGCGAGTCACTGGGAGCAGAGTGACCGACTGGGAACGTACGTCACCCACCTGGGCAGGGCCGGCCTCCAATTCTGGAGTGTGAGATTTTTGTGGTGCCTCAAAGGTGAAGTTTAAGAGTGCAAGATGGTAGAGGTGGCGAGTCTTTCGTTTTGGGGTGCTATGGTGTCGCAGTACGTGTGTTTTATATGTGCGGTATGTGATGGAGTATAAATATATATAGATATATTTATTTATACTAGTCTATAATATATTTATGGATATAAAACTTGTGTTTTGACGTTGGCGTGTTGTATTGTGTGCAGGCATGATTGAGGCAAACTTGGCTTTTTGCCCTCCCAAGACCAGCATCGGTGGACTGTCACAGCCACCTGCCTGGCAAGGTACTATGCTCGAGCAGCCTTGCTGCAAGGGCAAGCGCGGCGCTCTACTGCAGAGGAGAGGGCAACCAGGTGGTATGATTTTAGCTTTTTGACAGCACCAAGATCTTCATGTGTGTGTTGTTGTGTTTCGGAAGTCCTCCATGAAGGCACGCTGTGTAGCCCAATGTTGATTCACTCTGGTTCACATAATGACCATGATGCGTCAGTCCACACCGCATCCACCGCATCCTCATCCAGTTTTTTGGGCCTCCTTCGCAATCCAAAGACCGTTCGAGAGACCGGCTTGCGTGGGCTAGGAGCGTTTCCACTTGTTGCAAGAGGCCTGCGTCGCCCTACAAGAATGCATGGCCACTGGAGGCTCAAAGACTGCCTGCTCGGACTGAAAATATAAGGAAAGCCACTCGTAAGATGGCCAGCGCCCAGGACAAACCCTTACCATCTTACCTGGTTCTGGATTGATTATTTGAACTGTGGCAACAATTTTTTTGGACGATGACATGAATCAACTTCTAAAGTCTGAGTGTGCAGATCCTTGTCTTGAACATAGCTTTTTTCCTCCTTGTAGTCCTGTCCTCCCTCAGCTTGAGACCATCATCAGAATTGGGATTGGTGTGATCTAGCTTTCGCCTTTTGCAAGCTCTTCCTGCCGGTCGCTCACCTCCATTCCCGGTCGCTCCCGGCCAGGTTCCAATGTCTACAACCTCTACAAAATCGAAAGTGGTGGCAACTCTAAAACGCCCATGGAGAAGGATCCCCGTGTCTGGTACTTGCTGGGGTGCGCCCAGCCCAGTCGAAACGACGGGAGACCAGCGGGCTGGGGTCTACAGAACGTGGCGAAATGAGGGAAGAACCAGGACTTTTGAACTGAACTACGTACTGCGTATGCTTCCCATGCATGGTTGGGGAGTTTTCACCGGGTTGGTCGGGCTGCGGTTGTGTTAGCTTCCTGTAATATCTTGCAGTTTAGGTCTTTGCACCTGTTCTCTTCCATGGGTCGCAGCGCAGAGTCCTGCAGAGTTCGTGGTGACCCGGGACTCAGGCTGGTGCTGTGTGACCTTGGCTCCTTCGAAGAAGCGCGGAAGGCACAGAGACAGTTGTACTTGAGGGAAGAAATTTCAAGTTATTGAAGCTTTTGTCGGTTTGTTTTCGTATATAGTATATGTTTGACACGCCAGGATGACTAGTTATACAGCATTGGGTGGAGGTGTGGCTTGAACCACCACAGTGGCTGTTTTTGGAGCTGCTTGTTTGGTTTGAGAGCTCCCAGCTGGCAGGTCTACCGACAAGCTCTTTGTCGACTGCCAATGTACTACTTTTCTCACGTGGTGCACTTCAACTTGGTGTTTCGGACTGCAAAAATGTTCAGATTGCGAGGGAAACAAGCCCCTCCGATGATTTAAGAACCTGGTGGTCCCCCCAATGCTATGAAAAGTTGGATGGGGATTTATTATGAAAAGAGTGTTTATTATGATGGAGATAAGAACAAGTTGAAGAGGCAATGACACATTGGAAGAAGGGGAATAAGCTGATTAAAGAAGGTGAGAGGTTTTTGAGTTAAAACTAGTGAATCTAGAATCTAGAACTTCACATGTTTGAAGTGGATGGTCTGTCTATGTTCTATAGAATTGGATAGAATTGGTCTTTCTTTGGAACTGCTCAAGTCGAAGCAAAGATCAACGTTGACGTTCCAGGCCTAACCCGAGCATTTCGGACATCTAGAGCGCTGCACATCTTCTCGTCTCGTCCGTCGGCGCATCTTCGTCGTTTTGGAGAATCTTATCCTGCAGATTTCAATGTGTTTGACCTGCAAAAGATCCGCAAGTGCCCACTCGCGCAAATGTTCCTCCCTGTTTTTTGTTGCGTTTCTTTACAGGTATATATAGAGATTGGATCGTGATTGATTGATCTGTTTTTGATCATTACCCTTCCCAACGGCTGCGCCTTTCGCTGGCCCCCACTTGGTGATCGGTGTCTTCCAAGTCGGTTTTGCTTCTCTTCCATGCTCAATCGGCTTCTGGGAATTCGCTGTTTTCACCAGGTTTCACCATTTTGTCCTCATGGTTTTTCCACACCCCACCAGGTCCAAAGACCTCAAAGCCGCCACCGCAGTCACCGCAGTCAGCGCCCAGGCGCTGCTCCGCGCGCGCGACGCGGACGCGGCCGCCTGCTGCGCCAGCGCGCAGCAGGTGGTCGATCTGCGGCGGAGCTGCGCAGCGCTGCGGGCACCCAGGTGGCCGAGCTTCAAAGATGGGTAGAAGAATGTAGAAATAAGTCTTGGGTTATAGATGGTTGTATATTCTTTTGTTGGTGGTCGAGTCTTCATTATGAATATCTATCAGGTCCCACGGCACTCGGATACTCTTGGACGAGCGGTTTTGGGCATGGCCTTTGGTCGATGGTACGAGTCAACAGCAACAGCCATTGCCCATGGCAGATGAAGGTGTCCGTTGATTGCGATCAGGAACTTGACAAATCCGCGGAATCTGAACTCCGAATTCCTTGTTTCTTGTTTTCTTGCTGCGGGGTGGACAGAAATGCAAAAATCACGCACACATACCTGCCCTGCAGCTCGAGGCAGGAAGGTGGCAGAACCTGTTGGATCTGCGGAAGATAAAAAATCAATATAAATATTACGTATATCATTCCCCTATTCAATTAGATATATTTAAGTCATATAATTTAAATATAAATAATATATATATATATTAATTACTTTACTTCGAGTGATCCCCACCATGACATTTATGCATTTTATTGTATAAATATCATGGTGAGGATATTATGGTTCAGAACCATATTCGTTGCATTTTTTTTCGCCACAATATAATCACTAACGGGCCGGTCATGGAGGTCGCCTTATCTTGTCTGACCTGGCCTAGCGACAGAAAACATCTCAAAGAGGCCTAGGGGTTGAGGTCCAGCGGTGCACATTGCGATCGGATCTTTGCGGTTGAGGTCTAGCGGTGCATACTGCGATCGGATCCTTGCAGTTGAGGTCTAGGGGTATACACTGCGATCGGATCTTTGCGGTTGAGGTCCAGCGGTGCACGTTGCGATCGGATTTTTGCGGTTGAGGTCCAGGGGTGTTGCGGTTGAGGTCTAGGGATGCATACTGCGATCGGATCCTTGCGGTTGAGGTCTAGGGGTGCACACTGGTAGATTGGCGAGGAAGGAAACAAGGAGGAAGGAAGGAAGGAAGGAAGGAAGGAACCAAGGAAGGAAGGAAGGAAGGAAGAGGAAGAACAATTGTGATAAAATCTAACAACCCTTACTTGGCAGGTGGGGAAAAATAGGTAAATTACTTTACTTCGAGTGACCCCCACCATGACATTTCAATCATTTGACTTGATGCCATAGTGAGGAGCATGTTGCCATGGTCGTGAGTATTGTAGTTCTCGATTTTGCTTGTGGGTCCTCGGGCTGTGTGCTGCGGTTGTGTGTTGTGGTTGTG